CGCCATATTTTCATACATTGTATCATACATACTTGCCATTTTTGAAATAAATAATAATATCCCTATTAAGAGTACGTCTATTTTATTAGATTCTAATGTGGAGACCCGGCTTTTACAGTGACAACAACGAATACAAGATCACACGCTTGTATGGTTCTTCCGAGAGTAACGAGAAGAGCAGTATGTTGGAAATTGATATGGAGATTGACGAGATGCACAATAATAAAGGTAGATTCTCTCAAAAAGTAATTCTAATTGTAGTGATGGCCATAGCTTCAGTCATACCTACAGTAGAAGACCCTATATGGTCTCACAAGATTGGGTATTGTCTATCGATAGACGCTCACCTTCAATGAGGTAGTTGGACACTCATTGCAGATGAACAGCTTTGATATTGACCCCAGAATGACATTTGGTCAGTTCTTAATATTAAAAGAGGCGATCACTGCAACATGCAAAAGAGATCCGCGCAAGGGTAATTTGAGGAATGGAGCGATAGTATTTGACGTACAACTAGCACTCACCTTAAGGATGCTATAAGGAGGTCTTGTGACAGACCTGAAGAGTGTTCTTAGCATTCTTTTGCAATTCGTTTGCATCTACTCACGACAAAAAGGCGTTCGACGTTGCAGGTTTCAAAGAACTGATTGAGGGCTTACCTAACCCTTACCACATCGTCGGCGATAACGCGTACGAAGGCTCAGATAAGATGTTGGGACCGTGCCCAGGCTCTAAACTAGGCTAATGGTGGGATGCATACAACTTTTTCCAATCCCAAACGCGCATGCATATAGAGCTGGCGCTTGGGATATTTGTCAGGAAGTGGGGAATATTGTGGAGAGCACTAGAGTTTAGTATTATGATCGTGCAGGGGATTATGAACTGTTTTGCGAAATTACACAACTATTGCATAGTACTTGAAGGTTGCCCTGACAGTGATAATTGTTATAAGGTATGCACAGCAGAAATAGAGCATACGAAAAAGGGGACATCTGCAAATTTGCGTTGATTCTTGCACCTAAGCCGATTCTCTACCCCTTGTTAAGGGATACGTGCCTGTACCTAGTGGCCAACGATATAGTATCGTTGGCCACGTAGCACGAGGTAAACACGTCAACCGTTCGAGTGTGGGTAGTAGAGGCGTTTAGGGACATACTTCGAACCAACAGCTGCGAACCAACAGACTAGACTCGAACGGTAATACCGTTCGAGTGTGGGCAGTAGAGGCGTTTAGGGACATACTTCGAACCAACAGACTAGACTCGAACGGTAACTAATGGTATACCAAGCACACTGTACATACACTACGACTCAGTGATGTCGCAGAACGCAAGCAAAGGTGAGCGTGCTGTCGCGAAAATGTACGGTAGGGTCAATGGTAAGTGTCAGCGCCAGTGGTAGACACACGCAAAGGTGAGCTTGCTGTCGCGAAAATGTACGGTAGGGTCAATGGTAAGTGTCAGCGCCAGTGGTAGACACACGCAAAGGTGAGCTTGCTAGAAGCGTATGGTCAATGGTATAGCACCCCGTCGGTTAGCGTAGGGTCAATGGTATAGCACCCCGTCGGTTAGCGTAGGGTCATTGGTAAAGCAACGTTTCGGCTCACCCCTTGCTTTTCAGCAAGGGGTGAGCCGAAAATTGGCAAGGGGCTGTGCGAATAGGGCCTATTTAAAAAAACTGAATAAACTTTTCTTGAGATACAGCGTATTATATATATCGAACACACAATATAGTAACAATGAATATCGACTCGTGTTCAGAATGGCGTAATATCGAGCGATGTCCACCCGTCATTGAAACTAATACATCCGATAATACCGAACTATCACAAGTACATGTAGTTGGTGACCGGACTGCCTCTGGAACATTTTTCTGTGCGAAGGATATTGCAACTCTAGTCGACGTGTCAAAATCGTGTAAAGTATATAATACGATTACCAACGATAATCGTGTCAAAATCCGAATTAAGGGGACGCTTGCCGTCTACCTCGACACGTTTGGGTTCATCATCTACATCTTGTCCACAAAACGTGGCCAGAGTACTGGGTACGCGAAATGGGCTATGGGTCTAGTTGCAGCGTACACAACACATGACACGGCTAAGATTATCGAGTTGTCTGCACCATCCCTGCAAATTTCGTTACGTAGAAATAATGTGGACTCACCAATACCCGGTGGTGTTTACCTAATCTACGCTGGTACAGTCGGAGAATTGAAGGGGCTATGTGACACTCTACCACTAGACGTGAAAGACGATCACCGTATTTATAAGTTTGGTCGCAGTGACAATCTTCATCGCCGCCTCGGTGAACACGAGCACGGCTTCCCTGGTTCTACTCTGGCGTTCGCCGTCTATATCTGTTCGGGTACCATTGGTGACGCAGAGGCGGCAATAGCAGACATTGTTAGCAAGCACTCGGCGACAAGCAAGTTTCCACTTAAGAAACAGAGAGAGGTATTCTGTGTCCCAGCTACTATGGCCGACGCGCTTGTCGATCAACTATACAATGAGTGTCGCGCGTTTGGTGCGAAAAGTGTTAGTGTGGACAAGTTGGTTGCCGAGAAGGCGATGATCCAGCGGGATTTAAAGGCTGTTGAAGATCGGGCGTTGCTAACCGAACAGGCCAATCATCAGGTGACTGAGGCAAACCGTTTGACGATGGAGAGTTTAAACAACGCAATTGCTAACGCGCGTCGTGCATATGACGAGATGCGCGTGGCATATTTTGAACTAGCCAAAAAGTACGACGATGCTCGTGATCGTCTTATGGATTTTGCACTACTAGCTCCGTCTTCCAAAAAGCACAAGCCAAATCCCCCACAATAGAGAGGGTTTAGGGTTTTAGGGTTTTTATCGCTTAAGTTAACACGATTGAAACACTTTAATAAATAAATGAAAACGGTAATGCGGCTCGGTATGTCAGCACCGACTCAACTTGTAAAAGGCGACGAGTTTTGCAATTATTCGGTGGTTTTTGCAATTTTGTCGTCAGAAGCACGATAACCTGGCGATTTGAAACACTGTGGCTTGCTCGGGCACCACGCACGAGACAATGTGGGCTCTAACGATTTGCTTTATGCGTACTTACACGTGCCCCTAGCACATTACTTGGCTGACCAATCAAAATGTACATGAACAATATGCTAGTCTTTTTGCCCCTACACTGACGCTAATTTTTTACCGCACCGGTTCCACACATCAAGAAGAGCGTCTGAGAACGTGTCCAGCATATCTGGGGTGTGTGCCGGTGTTGGGGTAACGCGCAGCCGCTCCTGTCCCACAGGTACCGTGGGATAAGTTGATGCTCTGCACGTATATGTTGTGTTTCTGCAGCAACGTGTCGGAAATGGCACGGCAAGTCTTATATATATTTGTTTATAATGTTTTAATTGTCTTTGCGTTCACGATCGAAATCAAACGCCAGTCGGACACCCCGTTACACATTTTGCACATCCTCTTTGAACCAACAGACTAGTGATACCGTGCGAGTCTTACTGGAAGAGACAATTAAGACCTAATTCGTACCGCTATTACAGACTCGAACGGTAGTACCAAGCCCCATGGTGCTGTTCACTGTACATACGCTGCGACTCAGTGATGTCGCAGAACGCAAGCAGAGGTGAGCTTGCTCTCGCGAAACAATACCCAAATAATTATGTAATATCTTTTTTAAATTCCTCCAGTAAATTCATGTTTTTAAAAAATCCATTTAAACATTTTAAGCTATTCCACTAAAAAAATAAATTTCGCTTCGTCAGTCTCGAGTTTGAGCCTCTGGACACTGTAATTTTGTGTTTTGCAATTTAGTGTTCACTTGAACCGGACACAGCCGATGTGATTGTTGATCAATCAGGTCGATCCATCCTCGCGGAGGCGTTTCCGCACACGTGCTGGAACGCACGTCTTCATGAAGTTTCCTTGGAGCTCGCGCAGCTGGTCTTCAGCGACCTTGGCGCGCCCATTCGCTTCAACGAGCAACGTATGCTGTTGCACCCTGTCGAGTTGTGCACGCGCTTGCGTTTGAACGAGTTGCTGTTGAGTTTCGGCAAGTCGGTCGGTGAATTCCACATTGCGCTCTTCGGCCGTGTTTATGCGGAGTTTCAAGAGCTCAATTTCATGGCTTAAATTGTGTTTCACCGATTCTTTTGCCCGGTCTAGTGAAATATCCTTCAGATCAACTATCACAGAACCAAACACATCAGGGTTGATAGATACCAGTTCAGTTTGATTTTTGTAGTGAAACGGTAGAGTTGTCTGTATGTTTTTGAGGTATTGTCGTATATCTCGTTCCGCCTTACCAGCAAGTTCGACGTGCATGCAACACAAAATATGGAGCTTTGGTTTGTTGAATAAACCGTCATGTTCTTTCAGACGACGAAAAATATTGGTCTTTGACATCCCAAACTTGAGCACTATATCCGAATCGTTTGCATTTGTCGGCTGGGTGCACTGATCGCGCAGTTTACCAACGGTCCCGATTTCAAGAACGTAGATACCGGTTGGATATCCCAGCAAAAATGTGTCGGGTAGTACTGCTGCGAGGGAGTTTGCACAATGCTCGGTAATCTGCACGTGGTCCTGAATCACAAAGGCGAGTATTACTTCAAGCAGCCATCTACAATATGGACCTTTGCGTGCCTGTCTAGATGACACAATGAATTTCACAAGTCCGAGTGTCGTCACAAAAAGCGTCTCAACGTTCTTGATTTTGATTTTGACGTACTCGTCACTTTCTAGGCCTTGGACTACTTTACTTGCACTCGAAACACATATCATTTTTGAGACATCTTGTGCTTTGAAAAATGTGTTGTCTATTGTACCATCACCCACAGTGAAAATTGATGTTTCAACACCATCTTCGTCCGCAAATGACTTACACTCAAGAGTGGGTGGGATCGTTTCAATGACACGAACCATTTTTGAACAACATCTTGAATAGATATTTAAAGACGATAGTTATTTCGATATTTATTTTAACCACAAGTATAGGTCCATTCATCCCACAAGTATAGGCCACCTATCCCTTTAAGGTATAGGTCCATTCATCCCACAAGTATAGGCACCTATCCTTTTAAGGTATAGGTCCATTCTTCCCATAAGTATAGGCACCTATCCTTTTAAGGTATAGGTCCATTCATCCCACAAATTTAGGCACCTATCCCTATTTTGCATTTTTTGCAATTGTGCAATAAAAAACGAAAAGTTAAAAACTAAAATGTATAAGCTGTAACGTTCCACATCAAACCAGTTCGAGCGACAGACCAAAATGAATGTTCGTAGTATACCGGTGTGTCCCGCATCAAACTTGAAAAATAAAACCCTAAAAACCCAACATAAAAAAAAAACGACTGGTGTATCCGTTAACGTAAAAAAAAAGCGAAATCAAACGCCAGTCGGAAACACTTCAACTTACATATAACACCATTCCCTAACGACGCTGCAATGCAAACAATCTACCTCATCCTCAGTTGCAGGACAAGTGCACTGTACCTGACGCAGATGACAACCACGTCGTCGTAAAGCCGGGTATGTCCAAAACAAGTATCGATGAAGGTAAGTTACCCGGAGCGGAACGCCTGGTTGTTATATACATTCCCGCAGAACTAGCATCCCAGGCCGAGAAAGCAGTCAAGAGCTTCGTCCAGGAACTCGACGACGTGAAGCCGTTCGTGTACGAGGGGCAAGTGGCGCGTGAAAAGCTCCAGAGTACAGTGGGTCACTTTACCGACATTGCAAACGAAATGGGGGGTGTGAATGTGAAACATAGCCTGTCTCACATCATCGAGACTCTCAAGCTGAAATCGGATATTATGAAAACTCTGGAGGAAGACAAGGTGTCCTTGAAGGAAGCAAATGTCGTGTTAAAGGAAGAGAATACCGTCTTGAAGGAGGAGAACGCCCGTCTGTCACAGCGCTTGGAATTGATTTCTGAACGTCGTGCCGACGATCGGTACAAGCACGCCGACGAATTGAAGGAGATCAGAGCCAAGCTCGATCTGGCTAACGTGCAGATTATGCGGCTCGGTATGACTGCACCAATGCGTAAACGCCTCAAACTTGACGATTAGAGTTAAATGTAGAAACACTTTAATAAATAAATGAAAACGTTACAAAAAAAAATGAATGGTGTGTACTTAAGGGTGCCACAAGGGCGACAAGGACATTTATCATTATCATTATCGTTTTTGATAGACACGATAAAAAAACTAGGCAAGCACCGAGCCACGGAAGCAGCGAGTTGATCATACTAGCCCCGTCGATAACGACGTGCTGTCCGCTGTTGAGTTCATTCCAACTTTCAAATATCATTCACAATTGTATGTTTTCAACTAGTAGTGTGTATATTTTTATTTTTAAAAAACCCCTAAACCCTGAAATTGCAACGTCGTTCACGCGGCACGTCCAATCATTTTGACTCCAGACCAGATTTCACATCGTTTCTTATACATCTGCCGTGTAACGCACTCTACCCGTGCTAGTCAAAATAAACGTATTTTTGCGCCTCTTCTTCTTGCAGTCTTCACACATGACATCACCAGCGGCTTCCGTGGGTCTCTGACAGATACGCTTCCCGACGTATCGCCGACAGATAGGCTGGCGCAACAGACATTCGGCGGACAAAACGACGGCGTCCTCAGGTAGCTTGACAAAGTCTGCGAATTCCATGGCCGCCAGGTCGGAGTCGATACACACAGCGTCCATATCTACAATATTCTCCAGTAGAATCAGCGCCTTCCCGTGGGCAGCGTGTGCATTCTTCAGGTGCTTGTTGTCGACTGGATAGTCCACGTACAGCAGAAACGGGCCACTGGCATCACCGAGGGGCTGGGTCAGCATATTGTGGATTATCTGGGCGATAGCACGATAGTGCTCACGGATGCGATCCGTGTTAACGCGGATGATGACGTGAGGTACCTCCGCGGTGGTGCCAAACGCCAGGACGTGCAGGCGAGCAAGTTCACACTGTTCGAGGTACGACCGGTGCCCCCCGTTTTCGTCCGCACACGCAAAGACAACGCGAGATCCCGTATTGACAGACAGGTCGGGATATGCGACTCTGGGTTTGCCGATGCTGTTCAGGACACCAGTGGCGCAGGTGGCTCCTCCGAGTGTGACGTGTCGCTGAAATGAAACAATGGTCGTGTTGCGGATAATCAAGTCCAGGATGAACTCGTCGGACCATGAAACCCCCGGCTGGCACGACTCACAGTATAAGGTAGACGACTTGTCGCCGCAGTTGGTGCAGACGAGGTTTTTCTCCAGCGCTGTTTCGAGTGGCATGCATTCGACACACTCTGATTTTCGACTACCATGGCTGCAAAGTTCGGATCCTCCACATAGTCCACAATGTGCTTTTCGACGTCCATGCCTGCAAACTTGGGATCCCCCACATGGTCTACACTCCGCTCTTCTACGACCATGGCTGCAAAGTTCGGATCCTCCACATAGTCCACACCGCGATTTCAGACGATGATGGCTGCAAACTTGGGATCTTCTACAGGGTATACACCGCGATTTCCGACCACCATGGCTGCAAAGTTCGGATCCCCCACATGGTCTACACCCCGCTCTTCTACGACCATGGCTGCAAACTTGGGGTCCTCCACAGGGTACACACCGCGATTTTCGGCCACCATGGCTGCAAATACCAGCTCCTCCACAATGCACACAGTAATGTTTTTCGCGCCCATGCTCGCATTTTCTGCGAGCCTTTGGCATGGTAGCGTGTGTTCAAAATCTGTAACACTGATGTTAACTTGAGCGACTTTTGAAAATAATGATTACTACTAGAAAAAAAAGTCGATATATATATAGACTCTTTTTCATCAGGACTGCTCCAGTATATGTTACCGACCCAGAATCAGCCCACGTTGCGGTCGATGGGACATCACCCTCATTGCCCGTACCCCACCCCCACGGAGGTCATTCAACCGTGGCGACCGCACCGTGGCCTTCTCCGTGTGGCGTTCATCTTGTTGTGTGTGAGGTTCGTGGTGAGCGTCGAGTAGTCCGTTTTTTTCGGTTGTAGGTCAGCATACACAAAATCACTTGAGTTAACACGATTGAAACACTTTAATAAATAAATGAAAACGTTACAAAAAAATAAATGAATGGTGTGTACTACACGGATCGTGGCAACGAATTGCTCGCGTGTCTGGGGGGACCGAGCACGCCGAGTTTATACAACCAACTTTTCAGCAATCACGGTTCACATGAACGCACTATAACGGAACTCGTTGCGATGCTGGGAAGTCCGCGAATACCGCATCATCGTGAAATCAACGGCATACTTCGCAAGTGTCCGTTGCCTAATTACTCTCCCAAATTACCCTATTTTTTTCCGTTCTTGAATCGCGGGTGCTCCAGTTTTCTTCCGTGCGTGTACAAACTAGACCGGCTGATCTACAAAACATATGCGAGTGCAGGACACGTTCTCGACGAACAGTACATGTACAGGGGCACACCGCACGACGTATTGGACAAGCAAAACGTTCTGCACGAAAACAGCGCTCTTGACCTGTTTGAGGGTCCCGTGCCCGGCATACATCTCGACGAACCGGCTTTTTTGTCGTGCACTCCCGATATTGCACACGCGGCCCGTTTTGTGCACGGGTCGCCCTGCTTTATACTGCGGTTCCAAATACCGTCAAATGTGCGCTACTACTACGACAAGTATACAAAGAATGCCAGGGAAGACGAGTGTATTATTCAACGGAACACTACTCTCAAAAATTTCGTTGACTATCGGGTATTGAAACACCTGTGCGACCGTGTTGCTACCCTCCTGGATACCGAGGTCCTGGTTCCTGGATGACGCCATTGTGATAGAGACGAAAGGATATAGATTTGATTATGTGTGTTTACTTTGTGATTTTAGACAGACGATGGGTTTTTATACCGAAACCTGATCAAAAAATCTCGCTGAGTTAGGGGTGAATATTCCAGGCAGGCAAGCACACACCACCTCTGTAGTACACCCCCCTACCCAAAAGGAAAAACAAAACGGATGCGCTTTACTTGTAAATAATTTTTATTAGGAAATCTATTGACACAGTAGAAAAGAGGATATTTGTTACCAGAACAAACGATAAAAGTTCTACTGCGAGCAAGATCCTTCAAGACGCAAAATCGGTAATAAATTTTATCGTCTGTCAAATCGGTCTATACATTTACATCTACCAACCGCATCTGTAGCAATATACTCGCGTAGTTTATTTTAGTGAAAATCTTTTCAAAAGCAAAAAAACCCACCCCACCCTCTCGGTTCTTGGGTGATATTTTTTTTCAAAAAAACAATTTGAAGGCAAATCCGATATATTCTTTCCAGGTGGTAAACCGTGCTTTTTAAAAAGTAGTATTTTTACAAAAAATATATAGATAAAAGATGGGATGAGTAAACACTCCTACTGACTGTCTGACCGGTGTTGAGCTTTGCATAATAAAAATGTTTCCCACATAGCCGTCCCAAGCTTGACAGGCACCGTCAAGTTTCCAACGCTATTGTGTGGTGTGCTGGTAACAAAAGTTACTGTACAAGCTTGACAGGCACCGTCAAGTTTCCAACGCTATTGTGTGGTGTGCTGGTATCAAAAGTTACTGTACAAGCTTGACAGGCACCGTCAAGTTTCCAACGCTATTGTGTGGTGTGCTGGTAACAAAAGTTACTGTACAATATTGGGTATACCTTCAGTTTTTTTTTTTCGGACATCTGGCGAATGGAGTCATATAAAGAGGAACAACGACACAGCGACATAAGTGAAATGAGAATTTACTCCACTCTGCTAGGGTGGACTTTTTTTTAAATATTCTGTCCATAATAGCTAAATACTCTCCATATACGTCTAAGATCCCCAAGAAGCTGCAGCAATCTACTCGTGTAGCTAATTCTATTGTTCTTTTATAAAATATGAAACAAAAAACAAAAACAAAAACAGGTTTTTGTATTAAAATGCAAATTCCATATATTTTTTTTCTACTTGGCATACGGTACTTTTTAAAAAGTAGTATTTGACAAACAAACAAAAATACAAAAAGAGGGAACTCACTGGTGGATGACACAACTTATATTACAAGTTAAAATAATAAAAATGTAGTTTACTAGGCTAGTAGTAGTGGTGGTGCATTTAAAACAGAAAGTGCCTTTATAGGAGCGCAACCATATAAGAAATTGTATGCTAAGTTAACACTAATGAATACTTTATTCAATCAAAGTTCACAACCGAATCCCATTGTATCTCTGATGCTGGTAGCTCAGCGCGACACAAGGGGCAGGTGTTTGCCCTGGTAAGCCACGCACGGATACAAGTAGTGTGGAAAATGTGTCCACAGGGTATACTAGTTCCAGACGTGTCGGCATCGTCCTTGCACACCGTACACGTAGAAACAAGAGCTGCACGGGGGAGTTTCTCCACTACAAGGGGGTCCGTCGACACGTCTGGAACTTCGTCGTGCCAATCGGACATCTCATGCACCCCAACCATTATCGCAGAGAGTTTCAGCTCGTAAATCGTTGCTTCTACGCGATCCATGCCCCTACCCCCAGCATTTCGACCATAATCCAGCATAAGGAGTAGTGCATCAAAATCATTTAATTGAAAGTTGGCCGAAAACTTGGATACAATGTCCGATAAGACAAATACCGTCATCGGAAAAGCAACTGCACCAACGGCCAGTTCCGCTATACTGGTTGATATGAGACGTATAGTCTCCATGTCCGGTCCATCTTCCGTGTACGACGTCGCCTTCATCAACATGTCCATAAGCGTCCAGTTGCACAACCAGTCAGCTCTCTTGCGTAGCAACATGGAAAGTATATTCCATTTCCGTCCGAACATACAATGTTCGCGTATCATACCAAGTGTCATTGCGGCACTTCTATCACCGCAAAAACACTCCTCGTGCCCGTGTAAGGTGTTGGGGTTTGCGCGTGCGTCGTGTCCAGACATGTGACGAAAGAAACTTACAAAATAAGATATGTAAAGTTTTTCGGTCCCTGTGGGTCATAATTTCGTATTTCCGGGTGGTACGTGACAGGGGGATCATCAAACAGCCACATGCGATGGGTCACTGAACAAACATCAATACAAAACCCTAACCCCAGACTCCGTTACTCGGGGTTTAGGGTTAGGGTTTAGGGGTTTTGTGGCACTCATACTCGTGTTCCACCGTAAAACCACCGGTTTTTTTTGGGGGGGTTTCGGGTATTAAAAATGGGGCTTAAACTTTTACAGCTAACGCTGGGTTTTTTGGGAAATCATTTTATTATGCGGGAAAACATTTTATTATGCGTTAAAATTCAGCGTACAAATTCCCGTACGTGGAAACAGCGATCTGTGACGGCGCTTTCTAGATGCAGTCTACAAAATGCCACTTCTGGTCCTCGTACTCGATAAATTTGCCGGCAACCATCAACATAACCACATCGGCACTGGAGTAGTTGACCACAATATAATCGTTAGCCACGCTCTGGATAAAGACCTGTTCCTTCATGATCCACTTATTGTTCGGTGCGGTCTTGCTCGTGTTGACGGTGAGTCGGATATTGTCGCCATTCGTACCCGGGACCGTGGTGTCCTCAGCCACCAGATACTTTGCCCCGCGACGCATAGTAAACTCGGTCTCGGAAACATACTCAATCATCCAGCGGTCCGGTTTCTTGGTGACCATGACAGCCTTGTTGCTGACAATGTCGAGGTACTGATTCAGTGTGTCGTCGGGATGTGTGATGCGACACTCCTTTACCACCATAGTCGGGGTGTCCTGGTCACCACCGTTGTTATTGTTAACAGTGTTGCCGCCACCATTGTTAGTGACCGTGTTGCCGCCGCCGTTTGTGACATCAATAGATGTGTCAATGACTAGATCTCCGGCAACCGTGTTACCGTCAATGTAAATGTTGTTGACATTATTGACAACGGTCTCATACATACGCGGGTCGATACGGACTTCGAGATAGCGCGTCTCGTGGGGCTCAGCCGCGGCAGGGGCAACGGGTATAGCGCGGGCCATCGGGTCCACGTCAGCAGCGTCAATCTCGTAGACTACAGCTTCGGGGTCAGATTGGGCGATGGACTCGACCAGGCTAAACACCATGTAATCCGCAACAGTCGCGTTCGAAGTATGGGCCACGAGACCAATGTTCAGCACCATAGTGTTCGTGTCCGGGGCGAAGGGAGTCAGGGGGAACTCGAACGGCTCGTAAATAACCGAGGGTTGAACGTCATCGGTCACCCGGGCGTAGGGGTGAATGGTCGGCGCTGCGGCAGCGGTAAAGGGCATCAGAGACTGGATCGCCAGGTACGCGGCGGCAGCGGCAAAGATCGGGTTGGTATAGCGGTAAAGCATTTTGTTGTTTTAGGGTTGGAGGTTAGGTTTGAGGTTAGGTTGTTCTATCTAGGGCTACCTTTGGGGTGTTGGGGTAAATCGATTTTTCTTCGGCAAGGTTTTAGGGGTTTGGGTTTTGTTTGTTTTGTTATAAGTAGAAAAGTTAAAGTGTGATCAATAAGTGAATCCACATGCGGGTTATATAGCCGGTTATTTGGAGTGACGCTCCACTAAACCGTCAACCAAAACCAAACCAGACCGCATTAATGGGTACAAATCCACATGGCAGACCGTCTTGGACCAGCGCAGTGGGGTGGTCGACAGTTCAACCTTGATTGGTGGACCACACCCTCGACTATCAAAACGGTGCTTCCTAAAAAAACAAATTCTGTAATTTATAAAAAAAAAGAACAAACTAAAAAGCTGGAATGAGTAAACTCTCCTAACTCCCGTTCGACCGCCTTCGATGTCTATATGCAAATATTTGTTACACATCCGTCCAAAAGTTTCCAACGCTAGAGTAGTTCCCTGCTGGTGGATATTTATAAAGGAAAACTCGATAGATTCACTACGGATGGTAAACGGTTCTTTCTAAAAATTAGTATTTTACAAAACAAAACAAAAAAAACTCCTGTCGGACGCCTTCGATGTCTATTGAGCTTTACCTGTATAATGCAAATATTTGTTACACATCCATCCAAAGGCTGACGGGCCCCGTCAAGTATCCAACGCTGTAGGGCAACAAATTCTTTATGTGTACCACCCGATGCAAATTTGAAAATGATATAAAATGTCGCACTAGAGTCTGCAACCCGTCACTTCCCCGGTTATAAGTTTTCAATTTTCACCATGAGTATCGGGTCCACCAACATCGTCGTGACGGAATTTGGGATCAGACCGTCCGGCATCTCCGCCCCCGCCGATCTCTCCGCGTTTTCCGGACTGGGTAAGCTGGAGGATCTGGATGTGACGTCATTCACTTGGTTCGAGGGAACCTTGATGAATCTTCCCCGGCTGAAACGGCTTTCGTTGAACCAACACTGTTCCACCTGGCCAAATGTGTTTGATATGCGGGCAGTCTCCTGTCTCCCCCAGCTAACAACCCTTGAAATTTGGGCCGGCGACCACGACACCACGCTTCACCCTCTGCTCGGGTTGTCGGGTTTAGAGCACTTGACACTGAAGGACCTGCACGCTCGCGACTGGGACGTGCTCGGAGAACTGGTCAACCTGAAGTCGCTGGTTGTCAGAACAACCGACGACGTGGACGGCATTGATTTCGGAAAGTGTACGAAGCTGGAAACTCTGGACGTGATCCAGAAACGCATCTAGTTCGTGACGACCGAGCACGACAAATGCTTCAGTTTTCAAAATCAATTACTGTGATCGATGTGACCTCTGACAGTTGAGCACAGGACATCGTGCATGCGACAACACCGATCAAACTTGGATTATAATATACAAATGACAAATACTTTGCAAGCGGTTACGGATTCTAATAATCCAGGTACGTGCCAGTACAGACACCAAACCCCGGCGTCTTTCGTAGATCCGATCCGATGGGTTGAGCTTGGTGGAAATTGGAGATAGCGAGTGTATACGTACTCGTATTCACCTAAAAGTTGGATTATAATAAACAATGATTGATAACTTTGTGTACTGAGCCTTACTTATTTCTGAGTTTTGATTTTCAAAATTATTTCGGCCGAAAAGGTGCATGAAGTTTTCACGCGCACATGTTTCTGAGTTTTGATTTTCAATTTATTTCGGCCGAAAAGCACATGTTTCTGAGTTTTGATTTTCAAAATTATTTCGGCCGAAAAAGGTGCGGTGAAGTTTTCGCGCGTACCTATTTCTGAGTTTTGATTTTCAAAATTATTTCGGCCGAAAAAGGTGCGGTGAAGTTTTCGCGCGTACTTATTTCTGAGTTTTGATTTTCAAAAATATTTCGGCCGAAAAAGGTGCGGTGAAGTTTTCGCGCGTACCTATTTCTGAGTTTTGATTTTCAAAATTATTTCGGCCGAAAAAGGTGCGGTGAAGTTTTCGCGCGTACTTATTTCTGAGTTTTGATTTTCAATTTATTTCGACCGAAAAAGGTGCGGTGAAGTTTTCGCGCGCAAGTTTCTAAAATTAAATATTTCTTTATACAATTTCGACACCGTGTCGCACACGAACTCGGTCCACCCACGCTCGAATCATATCACGCTGCAGCTCGAGCTCTAGTATTGTACACTTGTGCTTAGCGTCACCCAGGCGTTTAAATGACAATGCGCAACTTTTTCGTAGTTCCAGTTCAAAGTGCGTCGCTCTCAGCATCGTTGATGTTGCGGTGCCACTGTGTAGTATTTTCTTCAATTGTCGATACATACTCTGCGATTCAAGAGCACTCAAGCGTGTCCTACCTTTACTGTCGACTGGGTATCGTGCGTGGTTCTCGTTTGAAAAACGAAGAAGCATACGCAATAAGGAAAAATCGTTGTTTTCGCACAGTTCCCATATTTCCATAATGTCATCCGTGGCAAAAAAAAAATAGCGGACATATCATAAACGAGCGGAAGCTGTGGTAAATCAAATTGCATGTGTTGCGATCAGGGATGGCATTCACAATCGATGATATCGCAGTCAAAGATATACCTTTGAAGAAACCGGAAAGCTCGTGTACAGATTTGTAGGTTGAAAGCACACGTGTGAGTTGAATAAAAAACTCGTTTTGCGACCCAAACACTATTCTGGTACGATATATGGACGCTACTCGTGCTTGCACTTCATCAATCGACCGGTCGACGGTGGATTCGTCGTCGTATGGGATATCGACTTCAATTTTGGGAAGATGCGACATAGTATTTTCGTATTGAAAATAATAATAAAAATACGTCATTTGTCGTCACTGTGTGTCCAAAAACGACCTTGACTAGTCACTCAACTCAATTGCTTGAATGCTAGCCCGCTCCTTCTTCTGTCGCTTAAAGTCGGACCACCTGAGCGAGTCTTGGTTTCGCTTGCCCCGCTTCCGGTTAACACGCTGCCACTCCTGGTAAAGCGGGTTGGCGGGTTCGGATACATCGTGTCCCACTAGCAGTGGCACGGTGTCTTTCATGCCTGTAAGGTCCACAAAATAATTTCCATTTTCATCCGTAGCGTCAACACCAATCACCTTCCGAAGTCTCTCTTCGTATGCACGCTCAACTTCTCGCATTCTCTCCATACGTTCGGCATGGTCTAGCGCCTCACGTTCGCCATCCAATCGTATTTCCCTGATACCCCTAATTAACCAGGTGGTCTCTTGTGTACGTGGAATGTCGCGCAAATCGACCAGTCGCTCGAGTTTGGGTCCGATTAGTTTGCCTGCAAAATTGTACCTTTTAACCAATGACCAAAGTCTCAGCAAAGATTCTCGGAGAGTCATAAGGGCAACACTCAAGTTATCACGACAGGCCTTTGGACCCCTGGGGTCGTTTTTCATCTGGTCACGGTACGTAATCTTGAGTTTCGGATTATCAGGACTGATCAGAATTGCCAAGGTCTTGATTGCACTTTCGAGGTTGGGGATGCTTGGCTTGATCGTACCGCCCATTTCGAACACGTCAAATAATTCCTGAGTGGCAGCGGCGACAGTATTCTTGGCCTTGGTGCGCCATTTTTTTTGTGCCTGTTGAAAAGCGTCGTTTAGCTCGCTAAATTGCATCATGTCAATGCCACGATCTTCTAACACCCTGTCCAAACTGTCCTCGAGTGATTTTCGGATATCGTCAACATGCGTGGTGACAAAATTACACGCATTTATGTTTGCAAAGCAGTCATCGGCCGTATCATACAGGGCCTGTAGAAAATTGGCTCTAGGCATTTTGGTAAATATATGTGTATTTATATACACAGCATGAAAAAATGTGGACCACATTTTCAGTCGCCATGTAGCGTTTTTGTATCATTATATTTTCCTACCAAACTAGTCGATAAGGTGGAGATTTGGTCATACGATTTGGCATGAAATAAAGGCAAATAGGCGTTTGGACACAAACAATGGGGTTTCTTATACCAAAATGAAGGTACTTCCCCCAGAGT